AGACAATCTATACCTAATTTAGACTGAGAATCTTTTTTTCTTTTCATTAAGAATACTGAATCATATCAACCTATATAAGAGCAGCAAAGAATGAGATAAACAGGTCATTAATGCAACCTCCTGCGATATCCTAATAGCCAAATGCTGAGATAAATTGGTACGAAAATGAGGTAAGGTAGACTGGACTGCCACATCTGAAGCACTAAGGTCAGTGGTGCAAGGTCAAAAGATTCCTCACAGATCATATTTCTGGGTGTGCTGGTCAACAGCTGGATATACATAAGCCACCAGTGTGCTCAGGTGGCCAAGAAGACCAATGGAATCCTACCAGAAATAGCAAAGCCAACAGGAGCAGCGAGGTGATCCCCTCTCTATTCGGCACTGGTGAGGCTGTACCTCAACGGTTGTGTTCAGTTTTGAGCCCCTCACTACCAGAAAGACATCAAGGCCCTGGAGCTTGTTCAGAGAATGGCAACGAAGCTGTGAAGGGTCTGAAGCACAAGTCTTAAAAGGAGCAGCTGAGGGAACTAGGAATATTCAGTTTGGAAAAGAGGCTCAGCGGAGATCTTATCTCCCTCCTGAGAGGAGGTTGTGGAAAGGTGAGGGTTGGTCTCTCCTCCCAAGTAATAATGATGGAATGAGATGGAATGGCCTCATGATGTGCCAGAGGATGTTCTGGTTGGATATGAGGCAAAAATTCTTCCCAGAAAGAGTGTTTATGCATTAGAACAGACCGCAGGGAGGTGGTGATGTCACTGTCCCTCAAGGTGTTCAAGAAATGTATGCACGTGGCACTGAGGAATGTGGGTTAGTGGGCATGGTGGGCATGGGTTGATGGGTGGACTTGGTGATCTTACAGGTCTTTTCCAACCTCAATGATTCTGTTATTCTAAATTGGCAGCAATAATGTTTGATGTCTTTATTAATGATCCGGATGTGGAATACAGTATGCCATCAGGCAGTCTGCCTGATTGTCTCTACTTGTCTCTACTTACTTACTTTGGGAGGAATGGTCAACATACCTGAAAAGCATGCTACTCTGAAGGAACTTAAGAGGCTGGAAAAATAGGTTAACTAGTACTTCAAGAAGTTTGAGATAAGAGACTTGAAGATGTCCTTGCAAATTACGTAGAGACTTGCAAACAAGATGCCCTCAATCACAAGTTGTTATACAGAAGCTTGCAAATTACTTTCTACTTGGTCTGTACACTCTCATCAAATAACATTTTAGTTTCAAATGTCTACAAAGAACTTGAACTTACGGACTTTGTACTTACTGCGTAGGTGGAATAGGTCACATATAAGGAGAGATACATATTAGGTGGACCAGGAAGTCTGTAATCTCTGAATATTTCAGCCAGTGAGGAAAGGAGGAGTCACAATGCGTTGGGAAGAAGGATTAAGGGAAAGCTGTGATTTGTGAAGGGTTGAGAGACCTTACAGAGATTTGCCCTAGTGCATTCTCTCCCTCTATTCTAATAAAGAAAGCTAAAGACTCTCCTCTATCTCTTTTGGAGATAAAAATAATTGAACTAGCCTATTGGAGCAGACATTTTCTCAACAGTTCAAAAATTATTGCAAGTTCTACATATGGGACAGAGTAACCCCACAGAGCAATACAGGTCAGACACTGGTTGACTAGAGGACAGAGCAAGCATGAGGGTGAGCAGCATGCCATTCAGCAAAGAAGGCTTGCCACATCCTGGGACGTGTTCAGAGGTGTGCAGCCAGCAGGTCCAGGGGACAGCCCAGGCCCACCACATTGAACTTAAAGTCAACCACATCTGGAGCACACTGCGCTCAGCTTTCAGCTCCCCACTGCAACAGTCCCTAACATGCGCCAGCAAGTCCACTGTAGGATCACAGGGAAAATAAAACTGATGAGGAAAACCTTGAAAAATTATTTTGTCCCCCAGAAATAAAAACTACTGGAGTGTGGGATTTGCACATAAGGGATTAAGAAATCCAGGTCTCCTGTTACCTCAGCCTTGGGGATTGAGACCCACAAGATATGCATGACAAGCAGATAAAAAAGGAGTCTTGTGGTGGCAGGATGCTTCTGTTCTGGTTGAGGAATAAAGCAGAGAATGGTTTCAGCACAGAATCTAGAGTCTTGAATAGAATCTACAGTGTCCAGAATGAGAATATTTCACTATCTGCGAAATTAATATTGAAGTTAATTCTTTATAAATATTAATATGACCTCTAAGAAGAACCTAAGTATAATATCTGACTCTCCACCCAAGTATTGCTAAGATTAGGAAAGTATTTTAGGGAGGCATAGGGATAGGAAAGGGGAAAAGAGAAAAGAGACTAAACGGTAGAAGCAAGAAGAGAAACAGAAGACATAGGAAAACGTGCTCTCCCTCTTCCACCACAACAGAAATGCCTTCCTGGTAAGCACTGTACCCTCACCTCTTGGTGAAGAACACACAGAATAGCATTATTTCACTAACACTGTTATCATATATGAGCACAATTGCACCTACTATATTTATCAGTGGCAGTCCTCTGTCTGTTGTGTCAGTCAGTTCAACACATTGTCTATGTTTTTTAAAGGTTTGTGAAACTGTCCCAGTGAAAGTCCTTGAGGGTGCTCTGGCAAAGTCAAAGTACTCAGTGCCACAAAGGGAGGTTTACAGCTTTCTACAGCTGCTTAGTAATGAGAGTACAGAAAAAAATGGAAACCAATCCATCTGAGGGGAGTGCTTAGCAGTGGAGTAAATTTGCAAAACAGGAATTTCTAGTGAGATGCAGAAAGTTTTGTTTTTTTATCCCTCAAACCACAAAGTGATCAGATATTGGAACAAGTTGCCTGAAGAGATTGTAAAATCTGTCTTCTGCAATGTTCCTAACTCGACAGGCTTGTGAACAATTTGCCTTGTTTGGCTTGGTTTTGAACTCTGACCTAGCTGAGGCCAGAAAACTTCCAGAAATGCCTATCAACTTAAATTATTTTATAACTGTGACATAATATAAACTTGTACTCAAAACTCATAATTAGCTCCCTGTATAACAAAGAGTGCTTGCTTGGTATAAGCAACTGCAAACATTAACACAATGTGAACTAAAACAAGTCTTAGGAGCAGAGAAAGTTGTGACTTCATATTTGTTTTTATTGTTTTTTTTTCATTAAAAGTTTCTATGTGACACTTCTCAAATCAGCTAAAGAAACGGAAGAACCCCATGGGAAATTTACTCTAGTATATTTATCTCAATGCCTAAAATACTCTTTCCATAAAGCAATGAAGCTATACTACATGTTTACCTTAGTAGAATATCTACTCATGTTACTACCTGATAAATATTTTGTATAATGCACATTATGGTGTAAAAAAACAAAATATGTGTCAAAATAAATGTTTCTTTTCTTTCCTAAAACAACACGCTATATTCATTTCAGCATACTAACTAGATGACATTAAAAGAGTACATTTTATCACATCAAAGAAAGTACCCAAACTTTTAGGGCATATGAGATTATAAAGGTATTACAGAATCAAGTTTTTGAGAACTTTTGTTTTCAAGTTTTGAGAGAAGTTATATCTCCTGCACATCATATGCAAATAACAAAAATACATGGTTATCTTCATGGTGGGAAGCCTCTCATGCTGTTGTTTGAAACGTGGATTTGTCATCCAGAGAGCAGTAAATCTCACGTTTGGAACAGACACTGCTTCTTTATTTCAGGACTGCGCAAGCCTGGGTGCTAGGTGGTTTCTCACAGATGAAGTACGGGCAGGAAACTATCCGCACAATATTTATACACAAAAGTAACAAAACCAGTAGTTTTTCAGTCTGTTCTCCTCAGGATGATTTATTACAAATTTGCATACGTTTTTAACACCACTGATTCCATGCATTCTCAGGGGAGCTGTCTTTACCTGTGCAGGAGTCCTTCTGACCCATGGGCATTAGTTCTAGTATTGTAACAAAGATAGTTCAGCTAAGGATTCATGGATCTTGGATTTTCTTGCCAAGCTAGTCATCTCCCCAAAGCATACTACTGTCTCTGGGAAGTCCCTGGTTAAGGACAGAAAGTACTTATTGCTCTGATGCCTAATAAAACTGTAGCTCAGCTTGTTTGGAATGAGCCTTCAGCAATACCAGAAATAGTTGTTCTTTATTTGCTTTTTTTTTTTTTCTCTCTTTTCCTCTAGGTAGGATTTTCAGTTCACCAAATAAACGCAGTAGTGTGAAAGCACAGTTGCATAATCAGTCAAATTTTTCCTGACACTTTGATATACTTTTCTCAGTATGGTGGTCAGATGTCATCAGCTGACAGGACATGGTTCAGCACTCCCTGATTACAGGAGTGCCAGAAACAGTGCCATCAAAATAATGTTTTATAAACAGACACAGTGACAAAGGTAATCTACTTCCTGAAGCGATACAAAGAGATCTTCCTTTAAAACAGATCCGTAAGTGAGATCATTTCAAATGATTAAAAAAAACACCTGAATAAATAACTCAATAAAATCATTTGACTAGCGCAGCTCCCTCGACCTCATTGGTAACACTAAAGCCCAGCTGGTAAAGGAATACAGAACTCCATCTGCAACGCACCGCTCTATTTTCACAGCGTAACACCAGCTTCAACGAAATGCCTGGACCTAAAGAACACAGCCTAAGGCAAACGCTAAAACTCCCAACTATACCCACCCCCCTTCTCTCAGAGGGCGGAGACCCGCCATTTTTGTGCTTTCCCGCCCAGACCTGGGAGGACCCCGCCGCGCCTTTCCGCCCGGCAGGAGCTCAGGTGTCCTTCTGCCTCTGGGGCTGCCCTCCATATTCGCCTGACTTTATGACGCCTTCCGCCCCGCCAAACAGAGTTTCTACTTTCTCACTATGCTATATTTTTATTTGAAAAGAATAAATGTGTGAATCGAACGTGTCTCTTCCCTTCACGGGGAAGTAGAGTAGACAATCCGAGACCTCTAGGTCAGGCAGAGGTTTTGGCAGCCATAAGCGGGCACCTCCTCCAACGTCCTTGGCTTCCTCTCGGCGCCAAAATTCAAACGTTTGTTACTGCCGCAGCTCTGCTTACGGCGAGAGTGCGAGAGGGGCTCGGAGGCTGCCGGCCGTCAGCGAGAGCTTCCTTCGCTTGGTACCTGAGGGGCTGCGGGGGGGTTCGGTGGAGACAAAGGGCAGTCGCGGGGCTGTGTTGGCTGAGGTGCGTGGCAGTTTATCCCTGGACTGCAGCGCGGTAGGCGGGAATCTGCGGTGGGTGAACGGGGAGACATCCGTCATTTTGGCCCCCAAATTGTCCTGGAGTCACAGAGTAACCCGAACTGGAAGGGGGATCATGGAGTCCAACTCCCGGCCCCACACGGGACAACAGCCTTAACGACCAGCGTCACGACAAGAGTGGGCTCATCGCCATAGCGATGAACGGTATGTGAAGTCACGCTAGTTAATAATGTGCATACGGTTGTTGGGATGCTTACTGGATCTGCGGACCTGCGTGACTTTCTGTTTAAAAGTGCGCTGTTTTTGCTCTGTGTAGCTGCGCTTAGGCATACGGTACAACTTGTTTCTTTTGTATGTGTTTTTGGTTTTTTCCTTCAAAGCATGAGGAGTTACAGTTCAGTCCTTTCATTGTACTCCTGAGGGAAGCACCAACGTGGCCACTTGACAGCTTAAAGAAGATGTACATCAAATCAATTGTACTTGAAGGATTTAAATCCTATGCTCAGAGGACAGAAATCCGTGATTTTGATCCATTATTCAATGCCATTACTGGTTTGAATGGTAGTGGCAAGTCCAACATCTTGGACTCGATCTGCTTCCTGTTGGGCATCTCCAATCTATCTCAGGTAAAGAGAGAAGGTGAACTTAAGAAAGCTCTTCCTTATGGCATCAACCTTTCTTTTTAGTCTCCTGAGAAATCTCTTGTGGAAGACCCAAAAAAATGTTATTTCTGTCAAAAAATGGTTTTATTTACTTGAATTCTTTAGTAAGTGAAACTGTGTTTCTGCCATTTTTGCTTGTTCTTGTTAAGTTTAAATTAATAATCAGTACACTGCAGTAGTGCAAAGTATACCACTTAGTTGAAAGATACCCACTTAAGGGCAGCAGCCTGAAGCTGAAATTCTTTTGAAGCTGAAGGTTCCAATTTGTGTTCTTGTAACGAAATTCTGCACTTCTATATTTAGTCTTTGACATTTCACCAAGATGTTCTTCAGTGGGAAAAAAAAAATGATCTGGTTTCTTGAAACAACTTATTATTTAAAAGGTGTGCCCCATTTGCTGCTTAGGAAAATAAAATAAAATTGCATGCGCAAATATGACCAATTGGAACCTTTGCTTTCAGGTGGTTTTCCCTCTCCTCTTCCCCAATTCTAACTCTGGGTTAAGCCAAGGAACACTTTTTAGTGCGCTGCATTAGGAATGATAAATTTCTAAGTATGTGAAGGTACTAGTGACAGAACTAATAATCTAGCTTTTTGGTTTTTTTTAAACACCCACTTTATATTTGTATCAAATATCGTGTGGGAACAAATGGCAAGTTCTAGCTCACTAAAACTTGAACATTCTGCTATTGAATGATGCACTAGCGTCTTGCAGCTCTGGTATCCCTCATTCCCCTGAATCTTCAGCATTATAAATAGACCTCTACAGTATCCATTCATTTTGCCAAAACAGAAGAACACAGCACCAGTTTGATTTCTTTCAAAAGTTTATTGATCTGTTCCACACATTTAGGTGCGAGCTTCGAGCCTCCATGATTTAGTTTATAAAAATGGGCAAGCTGGAGTGAATAAAGCAACTGTGTCTATCACATTTGATAATTCTGACAAGAAACATAGTCCACTGGGATTTGAAAATAATGATGAGATCACCATCACCAGGCAGGTGAGCACTAAAATACGTATTTATTTGCTTAGAAAACTTCATTCATTTTTACTATACTCAACAGAGTGACTTTTCAACAGGAAAATAGGGTTTTTAAAGTCTTTAAGTTTTTGCAACCGTGGCAGTGATTCTACAGTGTTATTAACAAAAAGTGTAGAAGTGAAATCACTGTACTAGATTGAAAGTTGTAATTATTTGGGAAATAAGTTAGGATAATTTAGATGCAGTGTACAACTAATGTTTTCTGTGGAACTGCACAAAAGCATACTGGCAGTAAAATGATGTTCCTAAATAAATTCTAACTTTCTATCTTGTGACTTCTTCATTTCTGAGCTTCATGTTAAATTCTGTCTCTAAAACATGTAAATTTTATAAGAAAACCTGCATTGTTTGGGAATTTCTTGTCAGTCTTGAACAAATCTTTACCCTCTGTAACTGATCTTATTTAAAGCTTCTGCTGCAAAACTGCAAAGATGTTTGAAACATCTGTAAGATCTATTGTTATGTTCTGTATGGTATGTGCACACAAAGCAGGAGTATATGGAATTTGCTCTGTCTTTTTTTATGCACTTAATTATTTATTTTGTCTTCTTGCACTATATCAAGCCTCTTGTAAATCACTTGATTTGTCTGTTTCTTTTCCTTGTCTAGGTTGTTGTTGGGGGTAGAAATAAGTATCTTATCAACGGTATGAATGCTTCCAACAATCGTGTACAGGATCTCTTTTGTTCTGTCGGACTCAATGTCAATAACCCTCACTTCCTTATTATGCAGGTATTACACATACTTTTCTAAAATTCAGAAAGAATACAAGTGGCACTAAATTTGTGGAATAACATTTTTTTCCTTATTAATGAAAAGCAACTTTCAAGTGAAAATCTAATATCCAGTAGCTAAGATTTTTAGAGTAGCACAGCATGACTCTAACTGAATTTTTAGCACTCACTTTCTTTCATCTCCTCATTGGACTTACAGCAGGCTTTTTCTAAAACTAATGCCAATTTTGTTTCCCTTTTGATCTCCTTTATTATGTTTCCTTTACTATTACATCATGAAAGAGAGTATTTTTTTCCTTATTTGCTGTATTCTTTGCTAGACAATATTTAGTATGAGTTAATGTATATGCTTTCTTAAATCCCAGTTGGAAAAAAGATGAGCTGACCAAATGAAAAGATCCTTGTAACCATTAGTAGAGGGACTAAATCAGCCCTTGATAGATTTGCATGGAATAGCAAAGTAGTAGAATTTACTTGCTTCAAATGGAGTTGTCCTAATTATTTATTTACAAGAAAAAAAAAAAAAAAAAAGTTTTTGGCAGTTTTGCAGCCATTTTATTCCCCTTCCCTCCCCTCTCCCTTCACAAATGAGCCAGATTACCAAGCAGCCAATCTGTAATTAGGAAGTTATTTGAGCTCAGGCAGTCAGTAAGACTGCCACAACAAAATAAACATAGTACCACTTTACTTGGATGTGAGCAAAAATGTGGAGAATGCGTGTAGAAGTTCTAAAGGCCATTTCAAGCTTGCTGCTTGAAGAAGGAACTTATTTTTTGTTTGAAATGTTGAGAACAAAGTAACTAATGAAACTAAATTAATAATAAAATAGGTTAGCAATTTTAATATAGCGTATAAAATGAGTATGTGGGTTTTAATTTATTTTTTACTACTATAGCATGGTACACAATCATAATTCTCCTTTTATCTTTTTCTAACCAGGGGCGAATTACTAAAGTTCTAAATATGAAGCCAACAGAGGTGAGAAAACTGAATTTTTTTTCTTTTTTTTTTTTCTGGATAAGGAAGTGTTACAGAGATATAATTTGTTAAACTTGCTTTGAGTTGAACCAACTTGATGTGATAAAAATCATTAACATTCTGTCAAATTATTTTGTTAAAGATTCTAGCTATGATTGAAGAAGCAGCTGGTACCAGGATGTATGAATGCAAGAAAATGACTGCCCATAAAACCATAGAGAAAAAGGAAGCCAAACTGGATGAAATTCGAAGGGTTGGTACTATATGTGGGAATGGAATGTATACTTTATTTGCTAAAGATGCTGAATAACTAGCACAGTGTGTTTTGTTTCATTTTTTACTTGTAAACCATTTCATTTCTCTATGTGTTTGTATGTGTAGGTATTAATGCTACATGAGTTTTAAAAATCTGAATACAAACGTTCTGGTTTGTGTTTCAGGTCATAACTGAAGAGATCAGTCCAACTATAGAGAAACTGAAAGAGGTATGGAATACTTGTGGTTAGAGGCTTTAAAGCACTGAAGAAATACTTTCTACTACCTTGAATTAGTATATGGAAAATAAGACATGGTATTTTCAGCCTTTTTAGAATCTTTTAGGTGATGAAAAGTTTATCATCTATCCAAATATATAGTGTGGTTTGCAGATAGGAGAAATCTGGGAGAGGAACATAGGAAGAAAGAAGCAAAGGAGAGAAACAGAAAACGTAGAAGTTAAATACTTGTCTTAGTTCTTAAACTTGCCTCAAGCGGAGTTTCTGTTACACAATCAACTGCAGTAGTATAGCTTTATCTAAGATTTTCTTAAGAAGGCTTGCAGTGTACAATGCTGAATATTATAATCTATATATTATATTATAAGAATATTACATCCTATAGCAGTACTACTTTAATTTTTTTTCCACCCTATTTTAATTCTTATTTTCTTTTGATCTGTACCTTTTCAGGCACGTGCATCATATCTAGAGTACCAGAAAATAACACGGGAAGTGGAGAATTTAAGACGCATCCATGTGGCTTTTCAGTATGTCCGTGCTGAGGAGATAAAGGATCGCTCTGCTAATGCTTTAAAGGAAGCACAGACAAATAAGAAGAAGATTTTGGAATCAGTGGCTGAGAATGAGAAGAAGGTAAAGGAACTTGCACAACAAATAGAAGAAACAGAGAAGAAAAACAATACGGTAAGTGAGAACACAGATACGCTCACCCAAAGGTGTTAATAGAAGGAAGTACACGAGAAGAAAATTATTTTTGTGTATGATATGCACTTAAATTTGATTCTTCCTGTGACAGATTGTTTAGATTATACACTGCTTACTCATTACTAACCATTTAATAAATGGGATCTCTATAAAGTTTTAATGTCTGAAATACTGTATTTTCAATTGCTGTAAATTGTTAAATATCCCAAGCTGAGAGAAGCCTGCAAGGATCAGAGTCCTATTCAATAAATTCCCAAATAATCTCGATAATCTCAGGCACTGAAGTGAGACTGAGTAATTGAAGATGATAAAATTTTTCCCTCATATTTCCACTCTGTGTATTCAGTGGAAAACTTTATCTGATTTTTTTTTTTTCGTTTTTTTGTCTGTGTTTCAGACAAAATGCTCTTGAAGTGGGAAATACAAAAATCACTAGTGACCTCAGTTACAGAGGTAGAAAAATTAGTTATGTACCAAGTACTCCACAGCATCTTTTCATGTACAAGCACAACTCCTACACTTCCCCTAACAAGGATGGTGTCTCTCAGTAACTACAACTCAGCTCTAGCAGTGGCTTCAGATTGTTTTGGATTTCTGTGGAAAGAGATGTTCTATCACATTTGTTTTAGAGTCTTAGAGTCTAACCGTGCAATCAGACATGCATCTCCTCTACATAGCTACGAACAGAGGATGGAATCTTAGATACTGGATAGCTGTACACATTGAATTTCCATTGTTTCTGATTGTAGGAATTTGGTGCTAAGTTACATTCGCTGGAAGTTGCTTTGTCGGAACTCCAAAGAGTTGATGCTAAAGTCCGCAGTGATCTTGATCATAGGAAGCAAAACTTAAACAGTGAAGAGAAAAGGCATAAAGAATTGATTAAAATCATGCAAGAGGTAAATCCTTGTTTATGATTTTCCTTCTAAGCACTGATGTAATTCAGAGTGAGTGGGGACAGCAGAGTTATCCTCAAAGCTGATTGGAAAAAAATGGGAACAGGAGGATAGAAACAAATGATAAGGATGTTACTTGATTTGCACAGGTAGTAGACTCCCACTAAAAACAAATATGATATATTTATGAAGGAAGTCCAGCTCTACTGTTGACAACTTCGTTTTAATTTTGGGAGGAGATCCCATCTGCATTCAGAAAACCTGCTAATCTCAAAAGAAAAATATCTGCTTCATATTCTTGACATTTAATTCATTTCTCTTAAAATACAAACACTAAGTACTTTACAGAGAGCTGTTTTTCCTTCTTGTGCAGTTATCATTTCTTCCTCTATTTCATTTTTCTCTGTAGATGTTGTGTTAAGTGTCCTCACTGAGCAAGTGCACACCTAAAATATGTAAAAACAGATTGTGAAATCAAAAAAGCTGACAAGTTTTTCAAAATTTGGTTGGTGAAAATAATCATAGCTGTACATCATCTGGTTTACCAACAAAATTTAAAATTAATAGGACTTATTGGTTTGGTGTATTGTTGTTGTTTTTTGCTAAAGGAATTTAAAGCATTCACATCAAAGGAAAAGGAAATAAAGAAGATACAGGAAGAGCTAAATGATTTACAGGAGGAAAGTAAAAAAGATGCAGAAGCTTTAGCCACAGCACAACAGCATTTTAATGCTGTATCTGCTGGCCTGTCTAGCAATGACAGTGGTCAAGGAACTTCTCTTGCTGACCAGATGATGACCTGCAAAAATGAGATTAGCAAAGCAGCAACGGAGGCTAAACAGGTGAGAGTCAGAGTTCTCCTGATGCACTGTTGGAAAAATTTGTAGAACATCTGTGCAAGGTATTTTCGCATAAGCATTAAGGTAAGCCTTTTTTATTAGGCAGGCTTTTTAAAATAAGGAAGTTTCAACATTGCCTTGAGGAAGTACAGAAATTAGTAAGAGACATAATACAGATGACTGACAAGTATAGATTAAGAAGCTTAGAAAAGGAAATTAAAGCATTTCTGTATTTAATCTAGTAGAATTAAACATGTCTGAATAGAGAGTTTGGGAGGAATTTCTCTGTTACATTACTCTATTACATTTCTCTATTACTTGAAGCATGTCACATCTCTCTTAAGATAGGAAACTTTTGCGGCTGTTTTGATGGTGGAATATAAATTTTTGTTGATAAACTCGCACCTTCTTTGGCTTTAGAAAAACTCTTCTGGGAAAAGTAACAAAAGTGGTTCTGTCCCACAATATTTTAGTTTGTTTCTTCTCTTTGATACTATGTATGTGGTAATACCGTTTATTGTATCCAAGTATGTAGAGTAGTTCATACAATGGCAGCCCACAGGAAGGCTTGGAATAGAACAGACCTCATAGCTCATCAATCTCCAGTGCTTCACATGATTCAGGCCTTCCTGAATGCCTGCAGGAAGGAGGCATCCACAGCTTCTCTGGGCAGCCTGTGCCTCACCACCCTCTTGAGCAGAAAATTTCTTCCTAACATCTATCTCCCATCTTTTAGTTTAAAGCTTTTGCCCCTTGTTCTATTACTATTTCCCCTTTTCCCTCCTGCTTATAAACTTTTTATGTACTGAGAGGCCAAAATGATATCACCCTGGAGCTTTCTCTTCTCCAGGATAAACAACTCCCCAACTCCCCCAGCCTGTCTTCATAGGAGAAGTGCTCCAGCTGTCTGGCAGTCTTTGTGGGCTCCTCTGGACCTGCTCCAACAGCTCCACATTTTCTTTGTGCTGGGGCCTGCTGGTGCTGCAGGTTGCACCTTATAAGGGCAGAGTACAAGAGGACCATCCTCTCCCTTCTGCTACTCCTGTTTTGATGCAGTCCAGGATACAGTTGGCATTCTGAGCTACAAGCATAGGCTGCTGGCTCCAGCTTTTGTCCACCAGGACCTCCAAGCTCTTCTCAGGAGAGCTGTTCTCAATGAGTTCTTTTCCCAGTCTATATATGTGTCAGGGATTGCTATGATCCAATTGCAACAGCTTGCACTTGAACCTCATTCAGCTCATGTGGGCCCCCTTTTCAAGCCTGCTCAGGTCCCTTTGGAAGACATCCCTTCCTTCTGTCATACCAATTCAGATTAGTGTCTTCAGCAAACTTGCTGAGAGTGCAATGTCATTCTGTAAGATGCTGAAGAGCACTGGTCCCAAGATGGACTGATTGCTGAGGGCTAGGTTAGTTGGAAAGGACCTTCAAAGACCCTCAAGACCAACCCGCTCTTGGGGTTAACCATAAGTTAAAGCACAGTATTGAGCATTATGAAGCATTCTCCAAGTGCTCCTTGGCTGCTGACTGGTTGGAGGTATTAATCACCTCTCTAGAAAGTCTTTTCCAGTGTGTGCGCTCATAGTAAATAAATGCTTCCTGATGTCCTGTCTGAACCTCCCCTAGTGCAGCCTTGTATCGTTCCTACACATCCTGTCCGTGGACGCCATGGAGAAGAGACTCACTTCCCTCTCCACTTCCCTTCCTCAGCAAGTTGTAGAAAGCAATGAAGTTTCTTTCCCAGACCAGATTTCCCAAGCTTTCACTCACATGCCTTCCAGCAGTTTTATCAACTTTGTTGCCCTGCGGTGGACAGTTTCAAGTATTGTAACATCCTTCTTGTATGATGCAGCCCAGAACCAAGCACAATGCCTCAAAGTGAGGCTGCATTATGTCTAGTGAGAGAACCAGCTTTTTGGCTTGCTGTGGTTAACGCATCTCACAGTGCAGTTTGCTCTCCTGGCTGTCAGGCAGATCACTGGCTGATGCTGAGCCTGCTGTCTCTTTTTTCAGAGTTACTCTACAACTGCTTGTCTCCCAGTTTGTGCCTGTGTTCAGCATTGCTTCATTCGAGGCACAGCACCCAACATTTTCCTTATAATGTGTGCTGTTGCTGGTTGTCCAGTGTATGTAGATTTCTCTGCAAGGCCATTTGTCCCTCCAGGGAGTCAACAGCTCCTCCTAGTTCACTATCACCAACAGACTTGCTCAGATGCCTTCTGCCCCTGCATCCAGATCACTGATAAAAATGCTGAACAGCACTCGCATCTTATCATTGGCACTTTGTTCAGAAGAGTACTGTGAGGAACAGTATCAAAGGCTTCACTGAAATCCAGAAAGATTACATCCACTGCCTTCCCTTTGCCCACCAAGCAGGTGATCTTACCGTAGAACAATACACAGTGATTGAATATCCCATGTAGATGGGAGCCACAAGGATTGTTGCATCCAGCTCCCTGGCTCCATGCTTTTTCTTGGTGAGCCCATGCTGGCTATACCTCAAACAACGCATCTAGGAGGGCACCTTTCCTAGTTGGCTCACTCAAAACTTGCAATGGGAAGTTATCTTCATCATGTTTCAGGAATTTTCCAAGCTTGTTTGTTGTGCTAGCGTGATATTCCTGGATTGTCTGGGAATTTAAAGTCTCCTGTGAGGGGGTGACTGATCCTGGAGGTTCAACCAATTCTCTATATGTAAAGCACATCATCTCCACCTTGCTGGTTCTGAACCGTCAGTAACCCTTTGTCTCAACACTCCAGTCTTGGGACTCATCCCACCAAATTTCACAGATATCTACGATATCATGCATCTGGGCCAGGGTCACATATTTCATTTTCCCCTGTTTATTCCATGTGCTGCCTGCATTGGTATATAGGCATTTCTTCTGTGTTCCAGAACTCACTATGCTACTTGGAGCAGCATAGGTGTTCCCATTGGCATTGCCACCCTCAGGTAATGCTGCACCATCCCTTGGTGTGCCCCAGTGTTCCTAATGCAGCCTCTCTCTCTGGCCCATCTTAGTTTGAAGCTCTCTCAATCGGTCACACCAGGTTACAGGCCAGTCAAATATTTCCTCTCTTGAGACAGGTGCGTCTCATCAGCACACACAGAACAAGAGTGCTGGCACCCAGAAACCCCCCTGTGACACATTTTATGCTTTTGTCACCCACGTCTTTAGTTTTAAGGGCCAAGGCTGCTATTTGCCATTCTTGCAAACAGAGGGCATTTTTACAAATGAAGGAAGAACCTGGTTAGTGCATATGTTCTAAATCTGTACTCAAAGATTCTCTCTAAATACCATCTGGTTCATGGTTTCTTATTCCTTACAGGCCCAAATGAAGCTGAAATATACTCAGCAGGAGCTAAAAACAAAACAAGCTGAAGTTAAAAAGATGGATGGAAGCTACAAGGAAGACCAGGAGGCATTAGAAGCTATCAGAAAAACTAAAGAGAAACTACAAGATCAAATGAAAAATCTGAAATACGAAGGTTTTTATACAGACTTTTGGTGCATAATTTTATGGGGATGTGGAAAGCAATATAGAAGGAATAGAAAAAATAAGTATATTGTTTTCAGCCATGAATATATTTACCTGGTGAAATTTGCAGAAGAAGTACTTTGAAATTATTCAGTTTTAAATACTGTGAGCCAATACTTATAAAGCTCAAACTTAAAGGACTGACTAGCTTCCTTGTTTCTTCCCTTTCTTCCCAGTTTAAAACTTCTTAAAGATTGTTTCTTGTTGCAGAAGATGCACAAAAGTGTAAATTGACGATCCTGAATTCATTTCAACTCATATTTAGGGAGTAACATTACACTTTCTGCTCTGTGTATTTGATTTTGTTAAAGTGTTAATTTGTCTAAAATTGAAATTTTAAAATAATTTTACAAGTTTTTTCAATTAGCTGCTCCACATGCATGTGTATAAACAGAACACAATACTGATTCTCAAATTAACATGTTTCTATACTCTGTATGTTTTTATGCTCTTTGTTTTTGACTCTAGAAGCTGAACAAAAAGCCCACCTAGCAAAAAAGAAACTGAGTTCTGAAATCAGTTCTCTGACAGAATTGTGTGAAAGTATAATAGCAAAGCATCCTCATCTACGGTTTGAATACAAGTAAGATCTCAGTGTCATCTTGAAATACATTTTAAAGTGGTGTTTGGTGCATTTTATGCATGAATTATGAGACTATAAAAATTATTCCATCTATTCCTTGGCAGTTGTTTTTTTTATACAGTCGGTGAATAATGATTCTCTTATCTGAGGCAAGTGAACGGGTTAGTAAAGTCAGGAAATACTAGCTGAATTCATGTTCAGAAGTGGAGAGGATACAGTCATTCTTGAAATACAACCTTATCAATGTAATGTGAATTTAGAAGCTTTATAACATGGTGCTGCAAGCTGTAAGTCAAGCTCAGTAGCTGAAAATATAGTAATCCAACAGTCTAACCTGCAAAAATGTTATTAATTTTCAGACCTGCCTGAGGTCTGTGAGTAAACTTGCTCTGTGGAAGTCAATGTTGTGTCCATCTCCACCAAATATGTGTATCCTCGAATTTGTTCTCTTACGTAAAATCAACCTGAGTATATTCCTATAGCTGTGCTAATAATAGGAGCCTGACTATAATCACTGAGAACTGTGTGAACAAATCATACTGAAGTCAGGAAGGACACTCTTCTACTGGCTTTGCAACTGACGTTTTTCTGGAAAGTCTCTTGCTGTGAAGTAGTTAAACTAATAATTTCCTGTTTATTTTGTCTAATAGAATTAGAGTTTCTTCTACCATTGTAAACAATAGTAATTTCTAAGATAGTCTTTGAAGATGTCAGGAAGAGAACCAAGCATGTAGTTATCACAACTGATTTTGTTTTTCTAAGAAATCCAGAAAAAAATTGGAATCCGAACCATGTGAAGGGCCTTGTTGTAACTCTTATCACCGTGAAAGACGTAGCCACATCAAGAGCCCTAGAAGCAGTGGCTGGGGGAAAGCTCTATAACATTGTTGTGGACACAGAGGTACGTGTGTCACTACGCAAGCATGTGCTTAGTGACTTGATGCCTAAGAGGTGATTGGGCCCAGGGACCTACTTAAATTAAGTCAGAAGTGTCATACACAGATACTGTTGATGAAATGGTGCTGTTGGGATGCCGTATTGTCTTAGTATTGGATATACTCTGAAAGGTAGCTTTTCTCATTTTAGGCTACTGGCAAAAAGATTTTAGAGAAGGGTCAACTAAAGCATCGGTACACCATCATTCCACTAAGCAAAATTTCAGCCAAGTGTATTGGAGATGAGATTATCTCCTTGGCCAAAAATCTGGTATGTAAATAAATACTGTATTTTTACTGTATGCTGTTGTTTGTTTGTTTGTTTGTTTTTAGCATAATATAACAGCCTTACTATTTCTGTATGGTTTGAGAGTTTCTTAATTTTTTTCCTCTGTCTATCCCTGTGCTATCCAATATTCAGATGGATTTTAATTGTGTTGCTATTAATTGAAATTATGTTTTAAAATGCAATTATGACTTTAAAAAATTATTGAGATAAGATTCTTGTAACTTAAGGCATACTAATTGCATTTCACTTTATTTCCAGATTGGTCATCATGAAGTACATATAGCCATTTCTCTTATTGATTATAATTCTGAACTGCAGAAGGCAATGGAATATGTCTTTGGGACAACACTGGTCTGTAGCAGTATGGCTAACGCTAAGAAAGTGACCTTTGACAAAAGAATAATGAGGAAAGCAGTTACACTTCAAGGAGATATATTTGACCCCCAGGGAACCCTTAGTGGAGGCAATTACTGTTTCTTATTCATATAGTAATTGTGTTTTTGTTGATTTGTTTACTGCTTTGCACATTTTTAAAAATGGAAAGAGGCATTTTTGTTTAAACTCGTACTTGAGATAACATCATCTCTGAGAAAAGGTTTGGTGGTTGTACACTGGAGTAAGACTACAATTAGACTTGGAAAAAAACAATAAAATATTAGTATAATATAGTTTATATATTAGATACTTAGACCTTATTTGGCTATTGAACCCTCCTGAAGAGGTTGGAAAGAATGCTTTGAATTCAAGCATTTTTTGGAGTATTTCATAATTAATTTGAGGTAAATTAATACATGATATCATGTGAAGTTGGTTGATTTCACAAAATTAATTTGTAGTCTCTCCATTGAGAATGGTTGCTTAGCTGTTTTTCTGTTTTGCAATGAAAACAAATCATGAGTTAAACCTGCATCATAGCCAACATTTACAATTCACCATTTGCCAGAGCTGAATATAATTCCAATTAGATTGAATATAATTCCAATTCCAACTTTGGTCTGTTTTTTCTCTGGACAGGTGCAAGCTCAAATATTACACCTATATTGTCTAAACTTAAAACAATGAGAGAAGCTGAAGACAAAGTCAAAATAAAGAAGTCTCAACTTGAAGCTGTAGAGAAAGAGCTGGCAAACTTAAAGAATGCGGCTGAAAAGTAAGGTTTGCATTGTAAAAATGTCTTGTTATTTCTCTTATGTCACCATAAGCAGTTGGACAGATCAGTATGATGGGAAAGATATTACAACAAAGGTGCAATGACAGAGGGACCTGCATGGTGACCTAGGACCTAGATGTTCAGGCATGTGAGAGACATGGGAAGCCAGACTGGCAGTGAAGACTAAGGCAGAGGGCTCTTTGAGTACCTCAGCTGTCTCCATGCATCTTGTTGCCAGTTCTCCCTTATCATTTATTAAAAAGGGTACGCTCTCTTTGGCCTGTCTCTTCTGATCAATATATCTGTAGAACCTCTTCATGTTATTTTTCATGTCCCTTGCCAGGTTTAGTTTCATCTGGATCCCATCCCTATGTGTCCAGATGATTCCTGTATTATTCTCAGGCCAGACATCTCTGCTTTCCTTCTTTTCCCTCAGTTTGACCAGCAAGCCTTTCCTCAGCTGTGCTGCTTTCCTTCCTCTTCTGCTTGATCACTTATGCTTGCAAATTGGAGAGCTCTTGTGCTCTCAGAAAGTAAACCTTAAAGAGCTGCCAGCTCTGATCTGTTCCTATGTCCCTAGGAACAGTTCCCTGGGTGATCTCATCCCATAATTCCTTACATGGCTGGACGTTAGTTCTCCTGAACTTGAGTGCCAACTCTTCTCTTTGCTAGATCCATACTCCTCAGGATCACAAACTTGTCTAGTGATGGTCAGTACAGCCCAGACTGGCTTTGATCTTAACCTCTTTAATGAGCTCCTCTGTGCTGATGAACCGGGTTGAGAAACTCTTCACCTCTGGTTGATCTATCCAATACCTGAAACAGGAATTTATTCTCAACGGATTTGAGGAATCTCCTGGGTTGTTTGCAGTCCACTGCAAACAGCGGATATCTGGATGGTTAAGATCCCCATCAAGATAAGAGCCTGGGAGCACACCACTTGTGACTGAAGCAGGAAGGCTTCATCAACATGCTCCCCTTGGTCAAAGGGCTGTAGTAGACCCTGACCACCAGCTGTACCTTACTGGTCTGCTCTGTAATTTTACCCCACATGCTCTCAATCTGGTCATGGATGTTTCTTAGGCAGCTCCTAACAGTCTCTCCACTTCTTAATGTGGAGGGCAACTTTTGTCCTAACTGTCCCTCCTAAAAAGCTTGTAAAGCTTTTTAAAGCTAAAAAGCTTGTAGCCTTCAGTTGTAATATTCCAGTTGTTGCACTACCTTTCTCTGACAGCAATTAGGTCAGAGTTTGCTAACTGCACCATGATTTCCATCTCTTCCTGCTTATTTTCCTTATCTTGTGACACCCATCAAGAATTTCAGTTTGTGGTAGTTCTTATTATTCTCCCAAGGAAATATAAAGATCCTAAAGGAGAATGAATATTCAAGTGATACTGCTGTAAGGATTTAAGTTAAATAATCTTAAAAGTATGTTTGAATTTTAAGCAATTCCTTCTTACTGGTTGTGCTTTTAAAAATAGAATAAAAATCTACATTTAGTTCTAAAAAAAATCCCATGAGAAGGTAGCGTAGGGCACTATGGTATCTGCCAGCTGGAATTATTTTTCAGATTGTTTTAAGTCATAACAGATTTCCAAAAATGTAACCAAAAGGAAGAAACGAGTTTTACTTCTTGTTGTTTTGTTCAATGATTTTCTTACTTTACTGTCTGGAAAAACATGAGCTCTGATTTGTTTCCAACCTCTGTGTTGCATTTGTTTGTTTTTAGTATATATTCTCAGGGCTTCATAACTATGAGTTAAATGCATAAGCTACTTTTCTACAGACTTCACAATTGCTTTTAGGCACATTTGAATTTATATATTTACACACCTCTATTTTTGTAAAGCTCTGTTAGTCTCCTATAAAATGTAAGCTCATTTGTTTCATAGTTGTAATTGTTGTCACTTATAGTTGTCACTTTGGAGTGGGAATATAAGCATTTCTGTATCTGCTTATTTCAACTTGAAACTGAAATGCTGGGTACCCCTCATTATATCAGCATATATCGTTACTGCCTTCAAAGGTACCAGCATCTGAAGCAGCAGTGGGAGATGAAGTCTGAAGAGGCAGAGCTACTGCAAACTAAGATTCAGCAAAGTGCTTATCACAAACAACAGGAAGACCTGCTTGCTCTGAAGAAAACTATTGGTGAGACAAATGTGTTTTTTATCTTGCAGTTAAAAGCTAATTGCAGAGAAAGACAGTTGACAGTTGAGAAGCAAACAGCCAAGGGAAAAAATAGCTTTGAAAATATTTGTTTTATATTTTGGAGTATGTCCTAGAATCATAGCTGGCAAACACAGGTATGGGGCTCAGATAATGTTTTTTGTGCCTTTCTGAAGGTTGTGTCCTTGTTAAGGATTCCACATACATGCTTCAGAGTAAAAGAAAAAATGGCTTTGTACCAACATTATAAAATGCATTTAGTCCTATATTTGTGTGATTTTTTTTTTTTCAAGCCATCTTTTTCAGGAGACAATGTGGGTTAGCAGTATAAATAATCTGAATGATAAAACAATGGAAATAAGTACTGTTTATGTAGCTAGGGAAAAGTGTAAAAGAAATCAAATGCAGTGGTAAGGAAAACAGTGAGAGAAAAAAATGGACTGAAATAATAATGCATGTGTATATTGTATGTGAAGGATTAAGTTGTATCTGACTAGATGGCTGTTCCATGGTTTACTTCTTGTTCATCTGTTTGCCCCTTTTTCATGTTAATTTTAATGATTGGTTTTCTGTTTGGTGCCCTGCAAATAACTGGTATCAGTGTCTCAGGAATTACTGAAATAGCTGACTTCAGTAATGGCAAAAAACAGCCAGCTGTGTTTTGGTTTTTTTTTTGTAGTAGAGTCTGATTTTTATTCCAGAGAGAGGCCAGTATTTAAGCTTAAGGATAAGAGCACTGTTCAATCTTAGTACTGTACTTTTGATTCAGCGGAGTGTGAAGAGACATTAAAGAAAACTGAAGAGAGCCAGAAGAAAGCTGAAGAAGAGTATAAGGCATTAGAGAATAAAATGAAAAATGCAGAAGCAGAACGTGAGCAGGAAATAAAAAATGCCCAGCAGAAACTAAATAGCGCCAAGAAGAAAGCAGATGATTCAAGCAGAAAAATGAAAGAAAAGCAGCAGGTAAATCTCACCTCTATTGCTATTTTCTCAGTGCTACAAGTGTTTCCAGAAGTCAGTTTTATTCTGAAGTTTCAATCCCATCAACTTCACAACTTAAATATTTCTTTGTAGTTACTGACATGTAGAAATTTGTGATACTTTTGTGGTTTTGCTCCATTCAACAGAAGAGCAAGTGTTGTATTATCTTCTGCAATATTTACTCTATCAAATTAAATGTCAATTCTTTCCACTGAAGTATAACCATAACAAATCTTAAAACATCTTTCTAGGAAGTTGAAGCATTAGTTCTGGAAGTTGAACAGCTGAAACAAGAACAAGCCTCATATAAGCAACAGAGTGAGGCGGCACAACAAGCAATCGTGTCCTTCCAGGAGCAAGTTGATGCTTTGGCAGCCGAAGCATTTAAGACAAGGGTAAGAGGGAATACTATATTATCAGTTTTGATGTTACTGAGGATCTCTTAAAGCTTAAATTGCATTGTGTATTTTTTTTGCCATTTGGATTCTCTTGGCAGCACTGAATTATTTAGCCTTAGCTTTAACAGGAGTTGGGTGGGTTTTTTTGCTTTATTACTATGTGTTGATTTTTTCTGCTACTCCCAACTCCGTAACACCTGCTTTTGTAAGAAGTTACTAGCTGTCTGATTTTCTTAACAGGAATCTCTAAAGAACGCGGAGAATGAGCTGATCAAGCAAAAGGGATTAATGGCAGAGCGAACTAAAGTTATCAAAGCCAAATCTGCAGAGATGGAGAAATACAGAGAGCAAAATAATGAACTGCAGCTCAACATGAATGCGTTAGAACATGACATCAGCAAGTATCAACAAGAGACTGCTGATGCCTCTTCCACGGTATTTCATAATTGTGTTCTTCTTTGCATCTTGTGGCCAAGTGATTATTTCCTTTGCTTTGTGCAAAGGAAATGGCCTCCTTTTTTTTTTTTTTTTTTTTTTTTAAAATAATAAGCACTGTTTTACTTGGCACCTCTTTATGTGAAAGAGGAGGACTGGAAACTGGGAATTGTAACAGATCATTATGGATTCATAGAAAATATGTCAAATAAGGTGATCAATGGGAAAAAAAAAACCACAAAAACATTCTGATGTTATGGATAATCTGGGTAACCAATTAGAGAATCTAATCCAGATACTCGGCAACAATGGCTTAGTCCAGATACATGAAAATATGTTCCAAGTTACATGGAAGAGCATACATGAAACTTCCCCCAAAATCTCAATCCCCCTGTGGTCGTGGATATAGCATGAAGCAAGGTGAAGGGATCCACCTGTGTTATCCTGGAATGAAATAACTGATACTTTAGAGTGATTTTAGGACAGTAGCAGGTTGGGTTTTGTTGTTCTGTTTTAATTCAGAATTTTAAAAATAAACTAAAGCATCAGCATGTCTTCTTGTGTACAGTTGGACAAACTGCTAAAAGAGTATAAGTGGATAGCTTCAGAAAAAGAGCTTTTTGGCCAGCCAGACACAACTTATGACTTTGAAGCCAGCAATCCTAAAGAAGCAGGTCAGAAGCTGCAGAAGCTGCAGACAAAAAAAGAGAAGCTGGAGAAGTCATTGAACATGAGAGCTATGAATTTGCTTTCTGAGGCAGAGGAAAGGGTAAGCATTCCAAATTTTAACCTTTAGAAATTGAGCATCTTGGGTATATTGTATTTGTGATGTGACTTAATATATATTTTCATATATTCTGTTCCTAAGTACACCAAAGTATAATCTTCTTGATATACCTGCTTTTTGTTAGATCATATTAGTTTTATATTTTGAACTACTTATTGTGTGCTAGTAAAATAAGTTACACATAACAAAGCTATGGCTAATTTCAACACTTCCTACCACAGCCCTTGCTAAGCTGGCAGCAGTAGCACTGGGCAGGCTTTGTATCTGTTGGCATATCTGACTAAGTATCACAACTTCGTCAAAGGCTGTGGATCAAGAAAAAGAAGCAAGATAGCTTGAAGGTGTTCCAGGGTTGTCTTAGATTCGTGTGTATCCTGAGGATGTTCCAGTTTTGTCTCAGGACTGATTCACTGACCTAATGTTTCAAATACTGCTTCTTAATTAGAATTGTCCTGTTCTTCATGTCTGCCTTCAGAAGTATCCTTTCCTGCACAGAAAGATAAATGGAGCCATGGTTAACTTTTAATCAGAATGCAACTTGTGGAGTAGTGCTGATTTTTCACCTTTGCCAGATGCTGAAAATTCTAATGCTTTAATTTGCAAACAACACCCTAAAATTTACATCCAGCATACAGCTGAACAAATGCTTTGGATTTCAATCTTGTGACTAATTTTGTGTTTCTTAATTACACTCCCACTGTTCTGTGCTTTGTTCACTGAAATAACTTTTCTTCTTGCATCAGTATAATGACTTAATGAAGAAAAAGAGAATTGTAGAGAATGACAAGGTAAAAATTCTTGCAACTATTGAAGAGCTCGACCGAAAGAAAAATAAAGCTTTACACATTGCTTGGGAAAAGGTATGTCATTTGAAATCTAATCTTAGCACTTCAGCCTGTATTTTTTTCTTGGGGATCAGATTCACTTTAGTTCACTGCTTTGCTTATTTGTATGAAAAAAACTTGTTTCTTTCTAGAACTGATCTCCTATGCCTATTTAAATATTTAAAGTATGGAGCAGAAACTTCCATTTCTTCTATTTAACTTACTTTTGAGGGTGGAGCATGAATTCTCTGCGAACTGTGGAGACAGTCAAATTTGCAGAACTACCTTTTTCTTTTAGTGCCCACGAAAATAAAAGTTAAGCTACTGACATACAGATGCCATTGCCTCTTAAATAGACTGTTTTGCACAGAGCCACAGAATGGTTTGGGTTGGAATGGACCTTAAAGATCATTTAATTTCACACCATCCTAATGTGGGCAGGGACACCCCTAGACCAGATTGCTCAAAACCCCACCCAGCCTGGCCTTGAGCACATCCAGAGAGGAAGCATTTGCAGCTTCTCTGGGCCACCTGTTCCAGTGCCTCACCAGCCTTGCTGTAAGAAATTTCTCACCTGTCTAATTTAAATCTCCCCTCTTTCATTTAAAAATAACAACTACAATATCTATCATCTTATCACTTTGCCCCCTGATAAAGATTCCCCTTCTACCTTTCTTGTAGGGTCCCCTTAGGTAATGAAAGGAGTGTCTGTTTTATCCAACTAACTTTGTCTAAATTGTCCTGTGTACTTTGCTAGGCTTGCTTCGATTTCAGTATAGCTGAAATAAAATACTCTATGTTCTAAACTTTAAGACATGAGAATTCATTGAATGAAGTTGATGAAGAAGCCTAGAGCATCGTGTTGCCCATCACTAAGTTTTTATAACTGTGCTTCTGACTCAAATCACGCTCATGGACCTTTCCTGGTGCCACTTCTAGGTGAACAAAGACTTTGGTTCCATCTTCTCGATGCTTCTACCAGGAGCCAAAGCCATGTTAGTTCCATCTAAAAAGCAAAATATCCTGGATGGTCTGGAGTTCAGGGTTGGCTTAGGAAACATCTGGAAGGAAAACTTAACGGAACTTAGTGGAGGTCAAAGGTTGGTAAAACTGTGGATGTGTTTTTGGTTGTTGTCTTCTTTTCCATTGCAGTTGTGGATGTGATTGGTCTCTCTAACCAATCACAACTTTACACATAACCAGTTATGCTTTCGAGCTGTTTCCACAGTAGACTGTCTTCTTCCATCCTGGCTTCATATCTAAAGAATGATCAGTTCAGTTTCCCTCAAAGGGGAACCTGACTTCAAAGAAGGCAGCGCTTAGCATATAACAACAAAATTTTGTAACACAAAGGAGTGACAAAAAAGGTATGATGGAAAAACTGCAGTCGCTAAGCAGTACTGAGGTACTGCTGACACGGCGTGCTCCAGCCTTCGAGTTGCAGTCAGTGGGGGAAAGCAGTAGAATATTACTCTAGGGAAGCAACTGAGCCAAACAGGGCCTGCACTGCAGGAACACCTGGGAGAAATGGCAAATGACTGTTATGGATGACTCCCAACCTGATGAAATCCCATTTACTGTAACACTTTGAAACAGATTCAAGAACCCTTAGGTGCTTTGTATGATGCAGCCCAGAAATGCACATAGTGTCTTGAAGCGAGGCCACACTACCACTGCATCTAGTGAGAGAACCAGCTCCTTGACTGGCTGTGCACCCTACAATGCAGTTTGCCCTGCTGGCTGTCAGGCAGATCACTGGCTGATGCTGAGCCACTGATCACCAGCAGACTTGCTGAGATGACAAAAGTGCTGAACAGCACTGGCCTTCAAACTGAGCCATGGGGAATCTTGGCCCATGGACTTAAGAACACGGAGCTGATACAATCCCTCCCTTACAATTTCAGTCACCACAAACAGAATGTAACTGTTCCCTGAGTCATGGTCCTCCAGTTCAGAGGACAAGACAGCCCAAGATCCTTCATTAATATTAAAATAATGAGGCAAAAAACAAACAATAAAAATCAGATGCTTCTGCCTTTTCATCCTTTCTTGGGTGGCCTACTTCATCCAGCATCAGAACAGTTCTTTCCTTAGAGCAACTCTTGCTGTAGAGGAGCAAAAAATGTCCTCTGGAAGAGAGATTAATCATAACCCAGCCAACCTGATTTGCCAGTAGAATAATTAACAATACTGTTTCTAGCAAAAGGCTCCACATTTCTTAGTGAAAAGTTGTGGCAGCAGCTGTTCTTGTTTCTCTCTCCCCAAAACTCACAGCATGAATCTGCTTCTCAGAGAACATTTTAGTACTACCAGATGATTGCTGTAATAAGTGGAAGTCTCAAACAAAAGCATAAAATATAGCTTCCTTATTCTTTGTATTAGATCACTGGTGGCCTTGTCCTTGATCTTAGCCATCCTTCTCTTCAAACCTGCTCCAATTTACATCTTGGATGAAGTGGATGCTGCTCTTGACCTTTCTCATACCCAGAATATTGGACAGATGCTTCATGCTCATTTCAAGCAGTCCCAGGTATGCTCTTGAAACTACTGTGACTATTTATTCAGCTTTGTTCTTTTCAGAGACAGCCATCTCCTGGGCATTCTGAACTGCAGAACGATTTTATTTCTGAGTCATTTCAGCTGGATTTGGCTTATGGCTTGGCAGCTGAAACTTTTAAGTATTACCTCTTCATATAAGCAGTTGCTGCACTGGTTAAGAAAAGCAGGTACTGACAAGGAGGATGGTCTGTGTACAGCCAATTAGAGACATAGCCCACATACCAGGGTTTGTTTGTTTGTTCTTGTTTTCTTGACAGAGTTCTTCAATCTAAAATGAAAAATGTAAAATAGTGTGAGTGCTTGTGGAAAGGATCCTGGGGTTACTGTGACCTGTCCACCCACAGAACTGAAGGAACATATTCTTCTGAATGAAAAGTAGTATGTTTACTTGCTGGTAAACATCACCTTTCCAAATTATGGTAGAGAAGAGAGGAACAGCTGTTGCTAGTGGTATTGTAAAGCAATTTGAGTTGCAGCTTTAGTGCATGAATAATCCTGCATTCTTAGAAAAATTCAGGGCAACATTTTCCCAATGGTCAATGATCAAGAAAGGTCGTATTTTATTGTGGTGCTACAGCAGGACAGGATGTGCCAGCCATCCTGCACTGAGTAGACCAAGCATGTAAACTTCATAAACACAAAAAATGATGGTGTGCATTAACCCAGCATGTTCTATGAGGCTTTCAGTGGGAAAAAAAAAAAATATATATATATATATATATATATACACACAAGCAGTATCAGTAAGATAATACCTAAGTGAATTAAAAGTAATCCTCTTTTTTGAAGTGTTTCTTATTTTTTTTAATCTTTATTTGGACTGTAGCATTTACTTCACACTTTCTGTTTTGTTGTAGTTCCTTGTGGTGTCTTTGAAGGATGGAATGTTTAACAACGCCAATGTCCTCTACAGAACCAAGTTTGTTGATGGTATATCCACAGTTTCAAGACACTGCCAGTTAAAAAAAAAGCAGCCACTGAATGAGACCGGCAACAACAAAGCTGAGTAACAAACAACACAGTAATGATGACTCAAGCATTCTGTGTTCCTTGATAATAGGAGGCCCGAGAATCACCTTTTTAAAAAAGAAAATCATTATTTTTATCTTGATTCTTTTTAGTAAGTCATTGTTTTTAGCTTTTTTAATAGCTTCAGTTCATGGCTGAACTGGAGCCTTTCTGTGAGAGAGGTGTGATGAATGAAGCTTGCAGCGTTTATAGTTTTCAGAAAACCTGTTGCAAACTGAGATACTGCATTCAGCTTTTGTCAGTTAAAGTGCTGTATGTTTATGTAAGTTAGTGTAAGCTTTAAGCTGTGTAAGCTACTTATTTGAGAGAAGTATGGTGTGTAGCATTTTAACTGCTCATTTTTAGTTGCTTTTGGTTTTAATTAGCTTTAGTTGCTAATGATTCTAATAAATTTTAAACAGAAAACTTTTCCTTTCTTTTTTTCTTTGCTGTTTTTCACCCAATAAGGCATAGTTAGTTTTAGTTTTAACACGCCCCATCCCTTGATTGTAGGGACAGACTCAACCCATACCAACATTTTATTGTGGTCTTCCCTCTAGTATAAAATCCCAAGGTCCACATCTTTGCTCGCAGCACCCAGAGCCCACAGGCAGCAGACCCTCACTCAGCAGCAAGGCTCCCTTCTTGATGTGGGCATGCTGTTGAATTAAGGAAAGTTAGGATGGGGTGTTGAATCGACAGCTGCAGATTTGACCATGCTAAGCTAAGATTGGTGAATGGAGTTGTGGCTGATGAGCTGACCAAGCAGAGCCAAGCCTCTGTCCTAACCCAAGTCCAAGAAAATAAGACAACGACCTTCATCAGAAAGACCACTGAGAGATACCTGTGTGTGAAAGAGCTGAGATGGGGTGAGGGAGGGGGTGTCAACCATTCTGGGGCCTCACTGTAATAACCCAGCCTTTTCTTGGACACCTAATGCATATGTAAGCAATTTGCTCTTTAATTGTGCTTTCTTGCCCTCCACTATGCAGGCTAGGTGGAAATATCCCCCTGCATCCGGCATGCACGCAGTGCTGATGAAACACACCTGCTCCATACCATTCTGTGGTTAGTTTGATTTCTGCGTGACAATGTGGCAGAAGCTGCTTCAATCAGTTACTTGGTAGAGAAGTAGCCAGCGTCCCGAAATACTGGATTTGCTCTGCTGCAGCCATCTCATGACCTTCCATACACACATGCGTAACACACACACCCATCAGATATTAAAGAATACATACACATATGATAAACACGCTCACAGATGTAATTCATTCCACTCCCAACCCTAAAAACTTGTTTTGCATTTGGAGCAATACTGAAAAATCTCATCAGGAGAGGAGAAAAATTACCAGTTACTGCCAAGGACAGGTCATGCATGTTTTATTTAGTTTTACCTTTCTGGTAAGCAACAGGGTTTTCTTTCAGTCAGTCCCTTTACATACTTTGACAGTACAGATTGCAGTGAGTTTGATGGAGATCTTGCAACATTAGAAAACTTCTCAATATACATCCATTGAAGCAACAGCTTGTAGGTCAGAATGAGTGCTAGTGTCAAATCTGCGCACTGCACCCCTGGTATACAAAGCAGCATTGCAGCAGCACAAGGATGCCCAGGCTGGGCAAAGTACAGTGTGTTTTACATAGTGCAATCACTTTTAGAGGAAAAACTCTAGGAAGGCCACATCTACTTATTTTTTAATCCTGTCACGTTTACAAATGAGGGGGGTAGAAATCAAGCCTCTGACTGAATTAACTGTTGTACAGGTAGGTTCTGTGTATAGGCACGTGCTTTAGAGAGGAGCTCTGAATCTTCTGTAACCATGAGAAAGACATATTGCTTTGTGATTCAGACAGTAGTAAGCCATCTCTAACCTTCCTAACACTCGGCCAGAGCTGTCAAGCCAGCTGTTTTTAGAGTTCCTAGAATATGCTCTTCCCTCTAGTGTAAATCCCCAATAAAGTCAGGCTGCTATTGATAATTAGTACAGTTCTCCTTACAGCCTTTCGACCACGTGAGGCATCGCCTCCACATACTCCAGTCCGTAGTGAAAAATCAGATTACCAGAGACCTGGAGACTTGTTTTCTGTAACTGTCGCTCCAACCAAACACGAAAAAACCCAAGTCAGACAATGAACTGCTACAGCAAAGCATCACTGGTAATATTCATCTAATACAAAATAAATGAGCGCTCACTGACAATACGCGTCATGGCAAGCAAATCTGTAAAGATACTGTAAAGTGATTTGCCCAGTAAAGATTTAAAACATACACTGTGCTCAATAGTTCAAGCTACACGTAAACAAAGAGCAGCTCCCTGCAACAAGGTGTAAATCAAAGTGTTATAGCACCAGCTCCCAGCACCAAGAAGTTGCTTGCTGACCAGCCCTAGTGCACAAAGCATTAGTGCTTGCTGAGGGTTCTGCTACACAAGAGCCACAGTGGGACAGCTCTGCCCATTTTTGCAGACATTTTCTTACCAGATGTGTAAAATCTACATTCCTCCCTTGCCGTGGACAAAGCCAGACAACTGGATGTTACAGTACCAGGAAATACTGAATGGGAAATGGCACCTGAGGGAAAAGTAGGTACTGTACACCTGATTATGAATAAATGGACGTGGAGGAAAGGTGATGTTATCTGAACGATTCTCGTCCCAACAGATCCTCTCTGAAAGGAGCTCCACGGCTTGTAAGAAAAGAAACAAGCTTTCCTGTGCTGGAAACCATGGACATGGTGGTACCCACAACAATGATTTTATTTCACCATCAGCAAAGCATTTATCCCCAAAAAACTGTACACATGCGGCTGGCCAGGTTGTGGTGCAGCGCTAACTTTATGCTATGAAAAGTCTGTTGCTGTAGTGGTCAGGTTTGTCTTTCATCTGAGGAGGGCAACAAGGGACAGGCAGCATGGCCACATCATCAAATAGCAACTTTACTCCACGCTAATGCAGATATAATCTTTCTTCTTAAGTGCAAATTAAAAAGTATTTGCTAGAAACCAGCATCACTTGGGCTGCTGAGAAACAACATACAACTCAGTTCCTTACAAATACTGACAATTCTAAATCAATACAGATTTCCAAAGCAAGAACAGAGTTACGAACATGAAGGGGAAAAAATATTACCACTATTTAAAAATATCATTGCAAACTTTGAACACTCTCCAAAAACATATCTAGAAAAGATTGTTTTCCCTTTTTTTTTTTTCTTTTTTTTTTTTTCCCCTGCAGCTGAGGAGTGTCCATGCAAAACAATTTTGAGAAGAGCAGTGTTCTACCTGGGCACCAAAGAGGCCCAATTTTGTCCCACACAGCTCAGTAAAGTGCTCTCTTGTGCATCCTTTGAGAAAGTTCTCATTTAAAGTTTGGGAGGCCGAGGTTACAGCTGGGGAAGGCAAAGCCTCGGTCAATCCATTCTGAGGTCAGAGAAGAAGGAGATAACCTAACAGTATTCTGCCTTTCATAGCTCACGGACAAGAGGCTGCAAGGGAGGAGCAAATAGGAGAAGCAGAGGTGGGTGCCAGATGAAATGCTGCCCCTGGAAGCCACAGGAGTTTAACGCAGACTTCAGGGGCAGTGTTTCACTCTTTACAGGTAATGAACACTAGCCCTACTGCAGAGTCTCAATGACACCAGGTAACAGATCTCCACACATGACACAAGTGAAGCTTTTCACTTCCTGTGCTGGTGGTTATTCAGTAATTGCTTTGCAGGACAGTGGGGATCTGAGTAACATTCTTTTGCTGACTGAAAGGGAAATAAAAGCATCTTGCCCTTTACATTTTTTTTTTTTTAAATGCACACTTAGAAACATTCTAGGGCAGATCATTAAGAGGTATTTACTGACAAAATAGTAACTAATAATAAGCTCAAAAGAGTAAAAGTAACATTAATGGGGAACAGAACTTAAGGCATTCTTTATTTTGGCCAGGAATGATGCATGCTACAGAGTAATCTTCATTTTTCCCACTTGGTTTTCAGACCACTGCACTTTTTTTTTTTGTTTTACATGGCACTTCATAGTTGATGTTTTTACATTTAGTTTAGATTTTCAAGTGTTTTCTTCAATACAAATGCCTTCTCCTGTAGCTCAGGTCTGCTGTCTGATGCCATTGTAGATAAGGAGTGGATGAGGCGCTCTCTGCTTTCTGGTTTCAGACTTTCCCACTGTTTAGACTCTGTGTAGAAAGAGAACGACACCAGACATGATTACTGGCATGCTGAAAGTCCACACCAACAAACAGTCCCCACCCCCACATAGGCTGAAGGAGCACTTGCTTACATGTCACTCACAGTGACCATGCTTGGTCGAGCCTGAACAGTCCACTTTACATCCAACTTCATCCACAATTGCTTCAAACGGTCTTCAAGTTTTCCCAGTCAACAAGCAGCTGACTGGGAAAAATCTAAGTCTAAATACATCGCTAAATCACCCAGAACAGAAGGAAACTCTGTCTCTCCTTTCCAGGTCACATGGCCATGTGCTTTTCTTTATCCAACAGCAATTCTCCCATGTGCCAAGAACAGAGTCTCACCTTGCAGTCTGGTGAGCAGTAGCTGTATCACAGACAAAGCTTCTGTTCTGACGGACGTGTAGCTTTTGTTTTCTGAGGGATTTAAAAACAGGAACAAGACAAAAACAACTGAACTCATAGCCAAAGGAACACAGCTGTACAGAGAGCAGTCACCTCCACAGTCTGAAGACTGCTCATAGCACAGCTCATATACGCTGCCAGACTGCACAGCTACCCTGTCAGACACCTCTGAATGACCAGGGAGAGGCTAACAGGTCCCCTAAGCCCTGTGTATCACCCTCCCATTAATACAGGTCTACTGCTCCTTGCGCATGTTGAACGGCAGCAAGGTTCAAATATCTGCAATTTGATGATAAACAACCTCTGTGCATCACAGACTTTTCCTCAGCTGAATTTTGAGGGCTATAAATCACCCAGATTTTAACAAACAGTATTTACTGGTGGTACACAAGCACAAGAGGAATAAACTTTCCTGAGAACAGCATCTTGTACTACACCATTTTCAGCAGCTTCCACAGAGCAAAGCAGGATGAGGTGCTACCTCTGGCAGCCTATTCTCATTCTGCATTTTCTCTGCTAGCCAGCAACAAAAGGAGAAATATATTAACATGCAATTCATTATCAACCTTAAGCTGTGCAACATTCACTTACCTAAAGAATGGGTGATAGATGAACAGGTTTCCAACAGTATTTCTGTCAATGCCCCAGGGTCTGCATGCTCCTCCTCAAACAGCACCAACCTGTCAAATGCAGAACCAGTCACTCTGTATCACTAGGACAGAGATCTGCTGTACCTTCCTCTGAGAATCACTGCATGTCTTTCATAATG